TACCGCCGAAAAAACGAAGTACCGGGAACCGCCAAAAAAATACCGCCACTTTGCAGTACCGCCAAAAAAGTACCGCCACATTCGGGTGGTACCGGGAACCGCCAAAGGCGGTACCGCCGGAAAACGAAATACCGCCAACCGCCAAAAAAATACCGCCACTTTGCAGTACCGCCCCGCCTGGATCCGCCTAAAAAACTAGTACCGAGGTGTACCCTGAAAAAAATACAAATACAGTCGTCCCCGCTTTAAAGACGCATAGCGTTTTTTTTTTTTCAAAGCGTCTTTAACGCGGGGAATCGTCTTTAAGATTCCGGGGACGATAACGCACCACCCCCGGCGCCGATGGAGGCATAACATACATCAAAAGACGCGCCGTTGCAACACGTAACTTATAACGAAACGAGGATCCATAAATCTGACCGCTCACAACGTAGCCGTGGTTGAAAGTGGAATGCACTATATATATATATATTTATATATTATAAACCATGTTTTAAGTTACCGCGCCACCGCCCGCAATAATATGCTCCCGACATGTGGGTTGTTGCGGGATATAGTTTTGTTATGACTGCAGTGCACTCTCTCGGTTGTGTGGCGACTGCTGCCTGCTGTGTTGTTTTTATTTTCTTCTCGTTTTCCTGATGTTGAAAACCTCACCGACACATCCTTCACCACAGCGGTTCCAACTTTGACACGATACTTCAGTATCTCCTAAGCGATAGAGACACAAACACCCTACACACGAAACTCAGATGGACATCAACGCTAAATTATCGGTGAAGATGAAGCAATAAAAAAAAAGAGCCCATCGCTGTATGCCCTCCGAAAAAAAAAACTATCGCCCCCACATATCGCCAAGAGTGGCCTGCACCTCACCCCCCTGCTTCGCTCTTCGGTTGACTTGAGTTTCGTGAGTGAACGAATGCACAGTCCTCGAAAGAAGGTACAGCGTTTCGCTGTACTCGCCGTCCTTCCCTTTCGCATTCAAAAAGGAGCGGCACTCCTCGAGGCGAAAGCGGACGTCNGATAGAGTCTAAAAAAAAAGAGCCCATCGCTGTATGCCCTCCGGCTCCCGAAAAAAAAAACTATCGCCCCCACATATCGCCAAGAGTGGCCTGCACCTCACCCCCCTGCTTCGCTCTTCGGTTGACTTGAGTTTCGTGAGTGAACGAATGCACAGTCCTCGAAAGAAGGTACAGCGTTTCGCTGTACTCGCCGTCCTTCCCTTTCGCATTCAAAAAGGAGCGGCACTCCTCGAGGCGAAAGCGGACGTCGGCCTCTGTAAGCGACGTTGTCACGCACGACTCTGACCTACCGTCGTCGTCTTCCTCTTCGCTGGGTACATCGTCATCGAGGGTTACGCCGGCCAGTTGCTCGTCTACAGCCTGCAGTTCCATTGCTATTTCTTCCTCCAACACCTCTGGGTCGTCCTCTACACTAAGCCACGTCTTTACTGCCTGACGCACTTCAGCGTCCGTGAGGCCTGAGGCTTTCTCGACGAACAAGTTGTCCGTCAACACTCGCGCCGTGGATCTAGAGTCCGTGGCGCTGGCTGGCATAGACATCTTGGAGACCATTTCGCNTGTGCTGCACGATTTTCTGGGGGGCCCCGCAGTATACAAATTACACCCCCCCTCATATTGTATATCTGCGGGGCACCATGGTTCGGAATTTTTTTTCGTCTTTATCGCGGGGAGTTGACTTAAGATGAGCGTCTTTAAAGCGGGGACGACGGTATTGATATGTGGGGTATGTACCCCTCCCAAATCCAATACTCTCTACTCTGGGATCACTCCCCCCTCTTCCCTCCCTCCCCCTGCGAGTATCATATCTGGCATTCGCTGCATTGCTGTCGTTCTTATTTGAAGCAGCAGTTTTGCACCTCAGGTGTGTGTTCTCGTTCCTAACAGGGCGTGCAGCTGAGCACGTGTTCTTATCGGTAAATTCTTAAGTTTTGGATTTTTTTCGCATTAAATTCTTATTACCGCATATTCTTCAGTGCGGGCCGGCACTTCTGCTGTAGCTCATACTTGTACCATAGAACATAGAACACAAAGTTCTTGATGAAGAAACATCAAATGCGGGGAAATATGGAGCACGGAGTGCGGTTCCAGGAAGTCTGTGGGCAGGCCTTGGGCTGATGTCCCTACCCGCGCCGTGCGTGGTTGGGGTGATGTCGCTGACGATGCTTCTGGAGACGCTTCTTCTCGGAAATCTAGTAACTGAGCGTGCCGGGAGAGGCTGTGCCTCGGGTATCTACTGCTGTCAGCGTGCTTGTGATGCCCTCCGTTCGTTGGCTGTGGAACCAAATACAGAGTATATCGGTTTGTGGTATGGTTCTGCAGGCGTTTTCTTGTATGGTAGGAGGTGTATATGGCAGGCAGATTTGCGGGCCTGGGGCGCCGTATGAGCGGGCGGCGAAAATTCGCCAGTTGTTGTTGTTGTTGTCTTCACATTAAAAACCATCCCGGTCTCTCTATCCAGTACCTCCTTCTGTCTCAATCTCTCCGTACTAATCCAGCACTTGACTCGGTCAATTTCCGTGGTCACAGGCTAACTTACCTAGAAAAGGTTTACCAAAATAAAATGGACCCCAAGGGTTAGCAGAGCGATAAAATACAAGAAAAGAAAAGAATCAGAAACAAATAAATACCTAAATACTAAATACTGTAGTGGAACGTGCGCACCACCAGCCAGTCCTGGCACAGAAAAACCGCTCGCCAGTTCAACAATTTTTGGGTTGTGGTTGGAGGTAGACATGAAACCAAAGCCAGGCAGCACCAAGGCGCTAGGCCTCACTAGGCCTAACCCACCCCTAAACCCTAACCCTAATCCTAACCCTAACCCCAACCCAACACCCCAAGCTAGGTTGTGGTGCAGTGGGTAGGCCTAGGTCGCTGTACCGAGCGGTGTGTGCCAGTACTGGCAAATTTTCGCCGCGGGTGCCCGCCCATTGAACGTTTGTCGACTAACAGGGTAGGGTATGGGGTGTCAACGCGTGCCCCCCTCCGCCCTCCCAAGCGCCAATTTACTTTTCTGCTGTGTTTGTACACGTGCAGGGCACACCTTCTCCAGGATGACCTCGGCCCCCGTCCTCCCGCAGTTGCTTCTTTTGGCTGGTACAGCGGTGGTCACCTGTGCCCCAGCGTTATGGTCTTATGGAGGGATCACGGGAGCTGACTTGATTGTGAGGAGGGTGCAACACATAGGACATCTCCGTAACGTACATACATGTACTTGTTGTGGGTGTCTCGTACAGTACTCCTGTTACCGTCTTGTCGAGGATAAGCGTCACCTCCACTTTGTATCACTTGCTTGCCTTCATGTGTGGTGCTATTTTTTTCTGGAGAACGTCTGCTGAAGACATGAGAGAGGCCCAAAAGACTTGAATGTGAAGATGCTCTGACCGAAAAGACCCCGGACCCTTCCGGTAATTTTTTTTGAGTCAGACAAAATGCTCATCATCAAGCAGGGTCAGATTCTAGAAAGAGGGTCAGGTTGGCACCGCATGTCAGTATATAAGGCTTGGGGCACCTTATCTCGTGTCGGGCAAACCCCCATTTTACAGTCAGAGTTGTTTGTAATCTGTAGACGGTAACGGTTTCATTTGTCTGAGGCTGCCCCACTTGTCATCCACGGCGCAGACAAATACCTCCCAACAACCTAATTTCATCTGAGGCGTGGGTTCCTGTTCAGAAGGCTCAGATATTTGATATTTGAGCAGCAACAGAGTAGCGTAAACCACAAAACTAGGATCGCATGGTACATACTCGTCCAAGCCTCATGTCACCACCAACGGAAAAACAGACCTGCTCCTCCTCCGATGCGGGCGGTGTGCGTATATGTGTAGATATGTGGCGATTGCTGTGGAAGAAACCGAGGGTAGTGTGGAAAAGAGGGTTTCGTCCTCGACAGACGTGAGTTTCAACCTTCATGAAGGTGTTCTCCTACCCCCCCCCTTTCGAGGCTTCTTCTTGTTTGCTAGGCAAGAGAACTCTTCTTGGGGTAACCGGAACCCGACCGGCTGGCGGCGAGTAGAACCACCTTTTTTCCAACAATCTTCTGTGCGTGTTGCGGGTGCGCCACTTCCGCCACGCATTGCCAGAAGTTTCGAGTTCGATAGACAGTGCATCGTTTCTTGGCCCACCCACCGTTTTTCTTTTTCCGTACTCTGGAAGAAAATTCTCTTCGTCGACGCCATTGTGGAAAAGAGGGTTCCGTCCTCGACAGACGTTGGGAAGTTTCAACCTCTATGAAGGTGTTCTCCACAGTAGGGTGGGATAAGACAAGGGTCACCAGCAGCCTCAAATAGAGCACCTTTCTTGCCTACGACCAGTTCAAGACAACACCCAGACCATGAGCTGTAGGCCACTCGAACTGCTGGTAGGTGGCCCAAAAGGTTGCCTCGTGTTACTCGCGATCGGCACCATCTCCTCTGCACAGCTGTTGCGGCTTGGAATTCAGCTTGAAAAATCGCTGTGTGAGGGGTGATTGTTCTACATGGTTGAAGCTGCTGTCGCCGCTGCTTGCTGTTGCTGCTGCTGACCGCCGCCTCTTTCTTTCGGTTGACTGAAGCAGGACGCCAACTGAGCGGCTGAGAATTTGCTTGCTAGAAGCCTTGACAGGGTGTTTCTCTGCCGTAACAACACCCCCGCTAGATACTCCTGGCACGTTGGATGATAGATGGCACCGCCCATCCAAGCAAACCTATTTTCTTGCTTGGGGAGAAGAAGAGCGTGGGGAACGGCGCGCGCGAGTCTTTCGGCCAATCAGCGGCTGGCCGTTGCCACGTCGTGCCGAAAAAAAATCTGACATCTGAGCATACTTTCGGATTTTTGTCATGCCAATTTTTGTTTGGGCATATTGTCTGGGCAAAACAAGACATTATATTTCCGAAACTCCGCTATGTAATCGGGAACGTCAACTACAGTACTGCTGTACAACACACACACCCGTCGGCGCTGCTACTGCTCCTACGCATACACGGCAAGATGTACTTTGGACACATTCACAGCAACAAACAACGTTGTAGAAGTCAGAGTAGAGTGAGCAACAGGACTCCGCTGCTGACATATGTTTGGCTCAATGACGTTCCCAGCATCCATCGGTTGCTGGCAAAGAAGTAACCCTGCAGCGGGTTGACGTATCCGCTCCGCAAGCGACGCCCGGGGGCAGGAGGGACTCGAATAGACGCGAAGAGCGGAGCCCGCAATGGTGTTTGGAATCTTCGCAACAAGTCTCGAGGCTGTGTGCGTTGCTGCTTGCTTCGGGGCCGCCCCGCCGAGTGCTTTCCATGGTGGCCATGTTGGTGCAGGAGATATCGGTGGTGGACTTGACTTGCATCCGTGGTTCTGATCGCAACGGAGGTGTTTGTCTCGCGTCAACGTCCTTGCATCCAACCACCCAACGCGACGCATGGTACGTAGATGGTTTAACATGTTCCAGGCACCAGCCGTGCTGAAGCCGCTGTGTTCGCTGCGTACGTCGAAAAACCCTTGCTCGCACTCCTTCCTAGCGAACGAGTTATCCACCAGTAACCGCCTGTATGCTGCACAAGTTTGTCGCAGAACACCAGTGTTGTTGTTGTTGTTGTTGTTTTCTTCACATTTAACTCGTGTCCGTTGCTAATCCCAAAATCTAGCAAGGACTCGGTCCGTGTTCACAAGAGTGCTAGAGCCATCAGAAGATCTACAGAACACGCATACTATTAGCAAGATAAGGGTGCACAAGGGTGTAAGCGAATATCATTGAATTGTGTTTTCCTCGTTGTTAGCGATGGACAGATTGTGGCCCAGGGGGCGTTGAAACTACGACGGATGTCGTTCCTTCGGAGTTGTACTTGTACTATAATACGTGTGAAACGACTAAATATTCTAAGCGTCCAACTTGTTGGGAAAGGTGTGTTGAGGCAAGACCCGTCGTTCAATGGCATGTGCCGCAAGGCTCTGAACCTAACGGTTGTGATCGCGGAGCAATGATATTTGGGGTGGGTTATCGCCGAGATGACTTGCGTCCGGATTGGCTGTGCCTTACCCCCAGCCAGGTAAGGTCTGGTTTTCAACTGGGGAATAAGCCGGAAATATCTTCAAAGGGCGCTTAGCTTTCGTCTTATATCTGCTTGTCGCACATGCCCTACACACACATGCCCTACAATGACACGCGTGCAGGCAGCAGTGGTCGTTCAAGTCGTGGTGTTCGCTACGGTGGTGTTCATCTTGTACTTGAGCTGGGCATACGGGGCGATGATGAGTCGTAACTCGCTCGATGTTGACACCTACACGGGGAAACAGCCCAGCTTCAAAGACAGGGTGGGCGTTGCCTTTACTCACTGGTAAGCTGCGTGGGGAAGGTTGAACCCAGGTTGGAGCGTCGACAGAACAATTTTGTGCATGCGTGTACTTCGTAACACAGAGTGCCCGTTTTTGTGTTCAAACGGGGCTTCGAGAAAGACTACTTTTTGCCCCGCGGAGCTGGGTGTACGGTCATCGTGTGTGGTGCTTGACAAGGGAGTGCCTGACAACAGACCGCGAGGATGCGAAAGCAAGACTTGCGGTTGCTGCATCCAACTCGTTTGCCACACGCGTGGATTGTTTCCCTCCGAGTCGCGCGGAAGGAAAGAAGGAAGGAATATAATAGCATACCGCAGGTCGATTTCAACAGGTTTTGATGCGTAGCCTCCTCCGTGTACTCCACCGTCGTTATTGAATCAAGCACACCAGTGCCTCCGTTGGGTTCACGTGGTACCGTAGGTTGCCTAAGAAACCACACTCCCCGAGGAAGAGGATGCGTGAATCACGTACTCCTAGTACATTGTCGGAAAGCTCTCGCTGAGACGGTTCCAACGCTGCCATTTTCGGCACTGCTGTCAGTGCTTGTTCTGCCGAGTAAAGGAGCTGTGAAATTGGCCCAGGGGGTGAGATATCCTAGCACATGCAACCTGCGGCAAAACTTGTCCGTCATGTTTCCCGGCGTGATGACCGCCAGACGAACAAGAGGAGAAGGGCGTGTGTTCCTGGCATACATGTGTGAGTGCTCGATAGGGCGATACTGTAATCACCCGCCAACCTTTGTGCCGTGCCTATTCAGGCAACCCATGGTCGAACGATCTCCATGAAGAACACGCCGGCGTTTTGTACTCACTATGTTCTGTTCACCGTAATATCCAACACCTCGAATCGATGTTGTGTTTTCGGTCTCCCGTCAGGATGGCAGCCGGCTTGGGCGCGGCTTCCTCGCGTCGCACCCCGAGCGACCCCGTCCCGCTCGAGGCCATGCCCTCGTCGTTCGTGGACAAGCTCAAGGTCAACCACGACTCGACCTCGGCCGCGGCCATCTCTCTCAGGGGCGGCGCAGCTGGCGGCGGTGGCATCCCCCGCCTGGCGATCCGATCTTCCCGCGAGGGGACGATCTTCGTGGGCACCATCAGGATGGGGTTCGGGCACCACCGAATCGCATACGCAGCTTGCTCGTGGGGGCTGGATGCCGGGATGGGGACATACTTCCACGACCTGCTCAACATCAAGTCGAGGGAGGCAGGGATCATCAAGAAGGCAGACGGGTGAGCGTCAAGCTTCATGTACGGCCTCCGTCTTTTGGTATGGGGTGCCGTGCGAGAATGTTGGGCGGGAGGAAGACTTCACCGGCCGTAAGGTTTAGGGCGAGGGTTACCTTCTTCGTTTTTTGCGGGCGGTTTCCTCATCGGCTTTGCTTGATTCGGTCGAACCGGTGTTCCTTGCGCAGGTACAGCAGCAGTAGCCGATCAAATCAGGTATCCAGATTTTCGGCCCGAGCTTCCCGTTATTGTCGCTGGCATTGATTTGTGCCTTGTGTTTTTCCTTCTCGGAAGCTAAGAACAGGACGAACAGGGTCTGGAGTCCAAAGTGATCTTCTTGTCATTTGTAGAGTTTCCAAGAAACGCCTTTGTCCCCATGTCCCCAAGTGCGTCTATTTACCTCCACGTGCGTCAGGATTTTCACACTTCGTGCCTCTGTGTCGATCCCGCCTTTCCCAGGTTGTACAGCTACGGTTCTCGTCTCGCGTCGGAGCTGGGCGGTGTGGCGGAAAAGGTGTGGGGGGCGATGACTCTCTCCGGTGACGAGAACTCCCTGAGGTGTGCATTGTAACAAGGAGTTTATTTGACCGCTGGCTTCAGTGGCCAGGTTCTGCTGCTGCTAGTCTAGGTAGCCATGCGGGGCCTATAGCAAGCTTGTGCTGTGTCGAGAGAGAAAGAAGGTATGCTTACTGCCACGTTGTTGTTGTCTCCTTTCTTGATTTTCTTTGCTTCATTTCGTTTCATGCAGGCTGTCGTCGCTACTCGTTTGTCACTCTGTGGCCGCTGATGCCTACTCTGTCGAACCTAGCAGCCTTTTGACCGGTAAAGCGTCTCGGTTACAGCATAGTTGGTAGTTTTACGTGGAGAAAGTCACTCCTAATTTGATCGCTCGCGCTCGTGATTCCGACACAAGGGGTGTATGCAGGCGGAAATCGTTCGAGTACAGCAGTCTTTCTGTCTTGGTTGTTTTCCCGACTCTTTCAATAACGATGGCCAACGATGGCCAACGATGGCCAACGATGGCCACGGGTAAAACCAAGTTGAAGTGAATGTGCTGCTCGCCTCAGGGAGCGAATGACACCTGTTTTTGCCGCCGGTGCCCTTCAGGCTAGGCCCGTATATCGTCCACCCCTGCCAACATCACACGAGGTCACAATGGTGTCAATAGCTGTGCATGTTGTATGGTTTCTCGGTCTTGCAGGAATTCGTGGCAGATGGCGGAAGAGCTCAAACCTCTGATGATGGAGCTCGACAAAGACGTCCCTGTGATCACCTCGCACTCGCTCGTCGGCATGACAGCCGTCGCCTGCGGCTTCAAGTGAGTGTTGAAAGGGAGAGGGAGAGATAACGGCGTTGTGTCCGTCCCTATCGCAGTAGTAGTAGTAAAGGGCACGACCGACGGTTTGATGTGGCAGTACTGAATGCTGTGGGTTGTCTATGTGAGAGTTTCAACAGTCACAGCAGCGACAGGCTGTGCGAAAGAAACAAAACGGCGTTACAGAGTATACCACGTCCTATGGCAGACAACCAGCTGCGTCCAACTACCGGGCGATCCCTCGGAGAAGCTCCAACATGAGACGTGTGAAGTCCTCTTGTGGTCGACTCACGGGACTGTTTGCTTGATGGGGTAACCTTATGTATTGCAGCTGCGTTGGCTTTCATGTCAAGCTCTCCCGCGCATTGTCCCCCCAAAGGTATTTGAAGAATCGCTCATGCACCTTCTTTGTGTTGTTTCAATCGAACGCTATCTCTAACGCTAACGCGAACGCGAACGCCGTGGCCACGCCTATGTAATTGTGTTGATGTGCTCGACGTTCTCCCGGCGATTAGGCACGTCATCAACCTAGTTATCGACAACTGGGCCCAGTGGTTCGTGGTGGTACCGGGGGCCATCAATCTGGTACAGGGGCCTTCCAACTACGAGGCGCTTCTTCGTATGGGAGTTCCTCCTGACCAGGTTGGGGTACACGAGGGGGGGGGGGGGGGGG